TCGTGATGTGACCTTGCAGTCCACATGGAGGCTGTATATTTCAACAGCAGGCTGGAAAAAAAATAAACAGACTGAGACAGAAACACACAGGTTTTGCTCCCAGACCACCCTTACCTGGATGCTGTTGCAAAAGCCTGATGAAGAAATGACCTGTTAGAAAGCCTGGCTGGAACTGGGGAGAGGATTGCTCTGAACCAGTCTGCTTATTCCCGTCTCTGGAGCCACAGCCACTGTCCCGTGCAAAACCTGCAGCTACATCTGCATTTTGCTGTTCCACAGAAGCTTCTGTTGAAACTTTTTCTCTCCTTGGGGTGAAGCTGCTGCTGCATCACCCCAGTGCACTGCCCAAGATTTTCACCAGGAAGATCAGGAGCCTCTTTAAGCCTGACCCAGGGAAGGTCCCTGTTTTTTTGTGCAACTGTTTATTTGCTTTCCCAGCTGTTGACTTTGCTTCCTGTTTTCCAGTTTGGTATCTTGTGTCTCACAGGATGTTTAGCAGGCTTGAAACCTCACATGGCCCCCAACCCCTCAATGGTTACACAAGCAGAGATGCCCTTTGAGCACTCATGTTTCTCCTGGTCTGGTTCTTCCAGGGCCCCTGATGGCCAAAGGAGGAGGGCACCATTCTAGAGCTGCCTGGAGCACCTGCCCACATAGACACCTCCTTTTGCATTTGGGATGTCTCTCTAAAGGTCCTAGCCATGTTCCAGCAGTGGCACTAAAAAAGGCTGATCTGGGCATCACCAGCCTCACAACAGTCCAGTAGCTGATTAAAATACAAAAGCTCTGCAAGAGAGAATATCATTGCACTTGTATTTTTACTTTTCCAGCCTCCAAGTCTTTTGAATAAAGATCTAATTGATCTTTAGCTATTTTGATAAATAATCTCCTGTACTTTGCTTGCCAATTAATAGCATCCAGTGGCTTCTTCTCCATTAGGACAGTGGCTGAAATTCAAAACTTGGCTGCCCTGTCATACTCAAACCTGCCCATGGCACATTCAGAGCGAGGTTTTGCCATAAAGAACACCAAGCCCCAAGCTGTGGCTCACTGGGGAAGTGCAGGCACATGGTGGCCATTGCTGCCCACTGAGGATCCTTCCAACACAGGAGGAGCTTGTCCTGTGCAAAATTCACCTGGTGCGGAATGTCCTCCGCTGCCACATACCCAAGGGATGCTGCAGGGAGCAGGGCCTGCATCTCCTGCACTCGCCCAGCCCCAGCAGCATTTTAGGCTGTGGCCAGCACAAACCAGGGGCCAGTGGGATGCAGCATGGGGAGGAACTTTGCTGTGCCCCTGGTGAAAAAAGCAGAGGACCAGCCCCATGCATGTACCCAAAGGCAAGGGCACTGTGGGCCCACACACCCCATCCATGGCTTCCTGCAGAGCTCTTGGCTGCCCCCGAATCAGCCACCAGGCCTGGCCCTGCCCCCCAACACCTGCCTGCATTTCAGTTCCACTTCACTCTTTTCTGAATAGGCGCAATGGACAGAGAAATCGTCTGACTTAAACCTTCCTCTTCCTCTTCCTCTCCAGTATTGATGATTTTACAATGCCACCAGTCACCACTGTGATGGTACAAAACAGAATTTGCTCCTCCAGACAGTGCAAATAACTTTCTACTTCCCTCTTTTCCATTCCATATTTATTATTAAATGCTCATCAGAAACCTCCTGGCACTGCATAGTGCTTGTTTGGTCCTGAGTCAAGATCCAAACCTCATCTGGTAGCCAAAGCAGAGTTACTGATCTCTCAAATTTGATATCTTACATTCCGAAGGAAGAGAATCAACAAACACATCTGCAAGTGCCTCCTGTAACATTTGTACTATAACAGCCCAAACAAACAATCAAAAAGACCACAAAAAGACCCAAAGCTCTAAAATCTCAACACAATCCACCCAAGTCTCCCTTGGTGGAGGTGGTTACCAGAGGAGTTACCTGCACTACCTGGCCAGTTACCACGATACCACCATGTCAGCAAATGAGATATTGATAATAAAAATAGAGCAAATACCTTCTGATCATTAGTTTCTGCTAATACTATGAGTGAGGAAAAGAGCAGCAATGCAAGCAGTGTTCTCTGCTCCATTTTGGAAAAAGCAAATTTTCAAATGAAATCTCTATTTATCTTAATCAGTTAATGAGTAACATGTACTTGGGGATATCATGTAGACTTTGAAGAGACACAGAAATGTAATATTTACCCATTAAACATAGGTAAAACTTGGACTTGGTTAATGCTTATTTTTCCAACAGATCTTTGCTCTTAAACATTATAATTTTAATGTTTCATAACACATAAAATTAGGAAATTTCTATATTAAAAAAAAATAGATTTTACGGTGTCACATGAAATCCCGCCGGCAGATGACTTGGTCTGTGTAACAAGCTGCAGGAATCTCTACTATATTCCACAGTAATAATTTGAAAGGACACATCCTTAACATTATCACAAGCACTTCAGAGATTTGGAGATTGCCAGGACAGGAAGCATTCACATGAGATATTACAGCTCATGGCTTTCTCAGCCTTTGTGCCTCCCTGCCCAAATGGCCATGATCCTTGGTAGGTAATGCCATTCATTATCATAAATTAACACAAAGATCCTGTGGAAATATAAGCATCTGTGTTTTCTTCATGTCTGTTTCACAAAGTTTCCAGGCAGAGACCAAGCTTCTAGTGGCCTTGGAGTTGCAAGGAGACACTAAAGCAGAGCTCAGTAATTTATTACTTACCAGACATCTACAAGTTCACTACAAAGAATGTGCTAAGCGCAGCCTGGTCTTACAAGCCTTGTGCTTTAAGTAATTCTTTAAAAAAATAAACTTGCTCCTCTCAGGCAGACTGTTTATACTACTTGGAAATACCATATCCTTTATAGTAGGACATGTAAATATATACATTTTAAAATACAAAAAATTAAACTGCAATATATTCGATTAACTTGTACAACTCGTGTAATGCTTTAATCCTTTAAAATACACAGGATTAGACACTTAGTGGCCTAAGAGCTGCAAGAGCCAAAGCTTTAATTAAGTGGATCTGTCATCAGTTTTCTAATGCCCATGTGTAAAATCACACGGATGTTAAAGAGCTGCTTTTGCTGCACAGATTTCAGCTGCAGTGTCAGCTCTGCCCCTCACATTTTTTAGATGAGGTCCACATTAAAAGACAAGAAGACCAAAAAAGATGTCTAGTCCTTATTGTCACACGTGGAAGCAGCACAAGTAAATGAACATCACAACATCCTGCAAATAGAGCTGTTTGCCAAGTCCCACTTCTCTGGCAGACACCTTACTTGGCTTCCCCATAGAATCCATGTGGGACACAGAGGTTTCTGTGCTTTGTTAAATCAGCACCAGCAGATCCAAAGTGGGGACTGAAATACATCACCCCTGTCCTGCTACCCCACTGCAAACCGGCAGGTCAGGCCCTTGTACTGCAATAAGGAAAGCGACATTTTGCCCCACTTGTCCCTCACCATCATCTCTATAACTATTGAACAACCTCTTTCCACCTTCTCAATACAGGTTAATGAAGGAGGGCTTGTTAAACCCAATGCAAAGGCAGCTCCAGTATTATCAGGGCAGGAATTTTTCCCACCATGACTTTTTTAATGCTCTGGAAGGATCTTTCTTGGGAAAAGGCTCTGCCAATGTACCTGTGAGAAGCCTGTTCTCCATGGAGAAATTGTGCCCACTAAAGTGAGGAGGTGGGGCCTGGGCTGCAAATAATAATCCTTTAAAGTGAAAGAAGCAGGGCAAAGCAATGGACCAGCAATATCTTTAAAGAAGCTTTCCCCTTAAAGCCAAAGGATTTGCTGTTGCCTTAAGTGAGCTCCTCTCCACAACCTCTCTGGGATCTGTGTGGGCATTGTCACATTTTATGTCAAGTGCTTGGGACACAAAAGTTAAATACATTTCATGGTGCACAGAGAACTTCAGCAACACTTTTCTGTCAGGTGTTTGGGACACAAAAGTTAAATATAATACATTTCATGGTGCACAGAGAACTTCAGCAACACTTTTACCTCTTAATCATGTCTAGTCTGTGTAAAATAAAAGTAGCTTCTTTAACAAAGGTGGCATCTCACTTACCATCCCCAGACATGCTGCAGAGACTCTGGGTGTGTGGGAAGCATGGCAGGTGCCTACAGAGGTTCCTCTGTGTTTTAGCACAAATATCCAGCCGAGGGGAAACATTCTGGGGTTTGGGAGAAAACCAATTTGGTGTTTAATGCAGCAAATTAAGAAACAAACAGCATTGAAAAAAATTATCTCCCCCTCAGATTGTGCTGGTGTTGTACAGAGACATTCGCTGGGTTCTCATCTCCATGGTAAGGCAGGACATGGTGGCTGGGTTTGGCACCCCACTTCTCACTTGATCCAGTGGGACAGGAGGCAAAAGCCACTGGGGAACGAGCTGAAATCCCTTCCTCAGTGCTGGGGCACTCTGAGAGCCAGGCCTCTGCCCTCATAGCTGAGCTGCATGAAAGGAAATCATGGCATTGCTGCCTGGAAGGGTGTGAGGGGGGAGATGTGAGGGAGAACTGTGAGGGGAAAGCCATGAGCGGGAAACCATGAGGGGAACTGTGAGGGGCGAGCCGTAAGGTGGGGGCCGTGAGGGGAGAGCTATGAGTGGCAAACCGTAAGGGGAACTGTGAGGGAAGAGCCGTGAGGGGAGAGCTATGAGCGGCAAACCGTGAGGGGAACTGTGAGGGAGAGCTGTGAGGGGAGAGCCACCACCCTGAGGGCCCCCGCCAAGGTGCCGCTGTAGGCAACACACATCTGGGTGAAGTCTCCAGATTTCTGTGCTGCCCCTTTGATCAGCTCCTCCTCAGCTCCCTCCTGGTGAGGCCGTGGTGTGAAGAAATTACACTGACACTGTGTCATCAGGGTGTTTCTTCCTTGCATTTGACAGACAAAATCATCCGCCTGCAGTGCCCAAGTGCCCATGGAATTAATCTGAAGTGAAATGAGTCACCACAGTGTGCCAAGCTGAGTCCAACAACCTTTTTTTATTAAACAATTATAGCAAACATTGTCCAATACATAGAAAGAAAGCATGTAATAAAAATGAACATGGAAGTTTTACTCTTTGACATGAGTATATTCTCTACTTAAGGACTTACAGTGGAAATTAGCTACTTGAGTCAACAGTGACTTTAGTGCAAGGAACAGAAATTTTGAAAAATGCTACAACAATAATTTGGTGAGTCATGTCCAGCTCCACTGTCAGCCAAAGACGCTCTTGGCTGGCTCATCCTTCGGTTTCTCAAAGACTGTTTCACCCCCTGTCCGAGCCCCGCTGAATACGGAAGGTGCTGCAGAGCCCATTTGTTCTTAGAAAAGAAAACCAGGAAAGACAAACAGTGAAATATCATCCAAATTCATGGAGTAGAACCAGTGCTGCTGAAATACATATATACACATTTGATAAATACTTCACTTGTACATCAGATGAACAGCAGGCTGATATTCCAGAGGTGACCCTTTCACTTGAAAAGGGCAATTAAATAAATGTTTTACTCTGCTTAATTGCTTCCAATCAAGGAGACTTACCACACTGCCTCATCACTTGGTAGGTTTTGGATTTAATTTCCTGGTTTTTGGCAAGGTTTCCTCTGGCTCCTTTGAGGTCTTCTTCCTTCACTGGAGGACGCTTCTTTTTCACGGGGGCTGGCTAAGAAACAGATGCACACATCAGTATTTTGTGTTCAAAGCACAGGGAACAAAGCTGCCTCCACCCAAAGGCTATAACATACAGAGTTGTTAACACAATATTTCACCTATTTCAGTCCTGAAATTGCACACTCGGTTACTTCCAATCTTCTCATAATCACAATTTCACTGCCCTCCCCAAAATCTGCTACTATTCTTACTGCTCTGAAATTGTCTTTTTATTGTACAGCCTTCAAAAAAGCAACAGACCGCTTAATTAAGAACAAAATAAATTTCTTAGACTTTCTCTGTCCACTCCTGCCTGCTTATTCTGCAAGTAATGATTGGTAATTCAAGAACCTGTCCAATATTTGGAAAGGGAAAAATCACTTTATTACTAAATTGGGCTTGTGCCTCAGTCTGCTTACTACTTCTTTGGGAAACCAGTCAGAGAGATTCCAGATTTAGAGTTAAGTTTGAATAAACACTTGACTCATAGTTAATAATCTTAAATTTAAGGAACAAAAGGATTGGAGCACTCAACAAGGCTCTCTGCTGAACACATCTGAAGCACTGGACTTCGACCCCAATGAAGGAGAAGGAAACCTAATACAGAAACAGATGCCTCATCAAGTATTGCACTGCAACAGCCAAGTACTAATCTGTTCACAGTTTATTCCACGACAAGGAAACAGGGATAACATTGCTTCAGCAGCCTACCCCTACCTTTAAATTAGGACTGCACAACCAAACACAACCTCACTCCACAGCAGCCAACACCATAAGCATTCCTCCATCAGCTTATTATTTCACGGACAGATTTTCAATGTCCCACCAGGCAGCCCTCATGGCAAGATTCAGGGGCACAGGGATATGATTAAGAGGAACAGAAGACCCCCACGCTCCAACTCTAATAGATTTACACACTAAAAGAGCAACAAGACACTTCTCTGACCATCACTACGTACAAAGAGCTTCTGATATTTGGGTTCTGGCAGTGGTGGAGCTCACTCAGGCACTTGCAGGCACTGCCTGTGAGGCTAAAAGCAGTTGTGGAGGGAAACAAATCCCTCAAGGCCTACAGATGGCTGGAGCAGCGAGTCCCAGGGAGCTTGCAGAGACAGCGCCCGCATGGCTGGCTCCTGGACGGGTGAGCTGGCTCCACTGGAGCACATTTTCTGCCTGCTGCAAATTCCTGGGAACGCTCAGAATAGCTCACTGTCAATCCCACTTGGATGTGTTGTGGGAAACAAAACATTTATGAGATCTCTGGGGAAAACACTCGTGAGTAGCCAAAGCAAGTGAGGGGAAAGGGTGTCAGCAAACCCTTCAAAATTCACAACACCTCATGCATGGTTGTTCAGCTGCTGACTGAACATCCCCACAGCCAGGGAGTCACCTGTCTTTCTGGAATGACAACTGGCACATGATGGGAACAGTCCCTCATGCTCACGGCACACCCCACAGGCAACCATCCCAGGAAGGGAAAAAGCCCCTTGCTTTATTAAGAGGAATATGAAATTTGCAAAGGTCCTTCACCCATTATTGGTAACAGACTTCTGTGAGGCTTCTTCCCACTGGGACAAGGGAATTTTTGGGAACAGGTTGAGGAAAGGTGGCTCTTGAGATGCACAAAGATACAGCCAGGCTGAGCAGAGCTCTTGAATGTCACCCAGTTATTTTAAAATAAACCGTCTCACGCTCTGAGGATTTTCCATCAGGACAGTTGCTGCGGATTAGTCGGTCCTAGCTGAGAAGCAAAGCTGGTGAGCAGAGAGGTTACGCTGAGCCCTGGCCAGCAGCTGCCACTGTCACAGCCCCACCACTGCTAACTGCTGCCAGAATTTCTGAGCAGGGGTTGCCAGGAGCCATTCCTGGCGCGGGCGTGCAGCCTGTGCTTTATCTACTGCTGTCACAAGACAGAAAGTGCTACTTTACAAAACATACAACTGGCTTTTACGTTCCATTTTCTTTGGAGTAAAGAAAATCAGCTGAACTGAGTTACTCTCTATGGCTGAAGAACTGTGGTCTTTGTGCTCCTGCTCTCCATCACACCAATCCTGTAAAACTCTCTTGCTGAGGAGAGCTCTGCCAGGCACATGCAGCTTGTGATGCAAATGCAACATTTACCTGAAACCTCACCATTTCTGAGCTCATTTCAAGAGCACTTTGAAACACTGATTATTGGGGCATGCATTAAAGACAAAGCATTAGTAATAAAATGAATATAAAAGTACTCATTTTACACAAAATTTCAGTCTCAAATATCTTTTCCTAACAGTCAGAATGTTCAGTCACACTCTTTTCTCCTGCATGTTAATGCACTAATCTTTACACAGTGACATTTCAGCACAGCCACCTCTTTGCAAAACAGAATTTCAGAATCACTGTTTGAGAAAGTGTGCCAGAAAGTCACAAATTCCTCCATCTCTCAAACATCCCAACGCAGAGCAGGGGAAGGGATTTTTCCCTTTCTACACAAATAAAAATATTTAAGGTAAACCAGAACATTTTAAAGCGAAATTAATTAACCACGTAGAGAGCAGCTGCTTTCCTTCTTCACCAAATAACCCACAATAAGAATGTACTTGTTAAAATATTTTAATCCCACAAGTCACAGAGCAGAAAAGCTGAATTCACGGAGAGGAACTCGCTATAAGCTTTTCCAAGCGCAGCATCCAGACCAGTAGCAGGTTTGCCAGGCGCTGCTCCGAGGGCTGGCAGCGCACAGATGTCCCCGTACCTGTGACATAACTGCGGCGCTCCCTCGCTGAAATCCCTCCCAGGTTGTTCCCGACTTTGATTAAATCCAGCCCGTGAGCTCTGCGAGCGCCTGTTGTTTTCCTGGACTTATATAGAGCATCCGAGTGAAGTGACGGGCTGGCTCATGTTCCCGAAGCAGCGGCGGGATGATTCAGGTCGCGGCAGGCTGTTGTTGTCGGAGGTTTATTCCTGGCGATGACTCGGGCGTGCAGCATTCACCGCGCTGGGCTGACGGGGGCAGGCAGCTGCGGCAGTGGGGAAGCCGGGTCCCTAAAAAACGCTTCCCGGGGAGTCCGCTGGGGCTCTGTTTATAGCTTAAAAAGGCAAAATGTTGTTATGGACACAACATTGACTCTGAACCCTCCTGGGGAAGGGAGGGGGAAAAAAAAGTGGGCATTGCTTTCCCAGCATAACAAAATATGTGTTCTCTAAAGACGATACAAACCTGAAGTCCAAAGCATAACTGAGCCCTGAATCACTCTAGCACAGGGATCTTTAATAGGAGAGTGTTTTGTGTCTTTTAGAGAGCTAATAAAGTAGGATATGGTTTTACCCTTACAGCTCTATCTCAGATCATGCTCCAGTGCAGGGTCTTACACAACTCAGTAAAATCACTTTCTACTTTCAGCACTACCAGTGAGTTTAACCATTTCACCCACATCTGTACAGGAACAGCTTACTCAGACATGGATAAACTTGGTGTTCCCCACTGTACTTGCTGACAGCAGTAAAACCTTTCTCAGAACTTCTAATATTTGTTCTCTAAACAATTTTTAAATTAAGTAAAGCCCTGCCATCCCTGAGCATGAATTCTGTTTTTCATTACTGGGAGAGGTTTTAGTGGGAGATTGTTTCCCTTTTGTTTTTTTATATTAAATCTTTACATCATGAAAAAAAAAAAAAAAATCAGCTTCTGTGACTGCACTCAACACCTACAAAGAACCAAGACTCCAGCCAGATGGGTTAACGACAGAAGGGCAGGCATGGCAGTCCTCCAAACACCTTCCACTAGAGAGATCAATTGTTGTATCGGCAGAAATCTGCCCTAGCCTTTTCTCAGGCTCTGACAGTGCTTTTAGGGTACAGTGAAGCACAAGAGGTCACAAAAAAATTTGTTTTTCACGATGAAAACATGACATCAAACCACAGCTACAGCACTGTACGAGCAGGACAGTGAGATCCGTCAGCTATGAACTACTCCCCAGGCCCCTCAATGCCCAAACTGCCTTTAAGCTGAACTCTTTCCAGGCCTGAGATCTTCTCCTTTATTGGGGGAATTATTTGTAGGCTAAAACGCAGCTTGGATGTTATGTCCTTAGCTATTCCTTAGGTTGATTTTCTATTTTAAACCCATATCTTAGTAACCAGAAGAAGCATTTCTGCAGAGCAGCAGTGTCCTTAGTAGGCCAACAAAACAGGAATAAAACATTGACCTTGGAAAAAACAGATTTTTTTTTTCTATTGTACAAAGCAACAGTTCTCTACTAAGATGTTCCTCTACAGTCCCCCAAGCATCACTATTCTGACTATCTATTATGACAGGAAAATAACATTCTGCGTGTCTAAAGCAAATATTTAGAATTCAAGACACTGAACTATTATCTTCCCTTCAGCTTTCAAAATTGCTTCAGTTAATTGGTACTGCATATTTCTCACTCAAAAGCAACAGAGTTGTGCTTTCATAGCAGTTTTATCTATACAAGCAAAATCAAACCACTCATACCTCGCTTGCCATTTGGGGCAGGTGAAGTGTTTAGAGAGGCAGGCAGCACGTCCTGGGGTTTCTAGTACATCCTCAAAGCCTGGAGAGTTCTGTTCTCTTCAATTCCATTTCCTAAACCAGCACTCAAACAAGGAGCACATTTTCTTGTGCAGATGATCGGCTATTTTTCCTCACAAAGAACCCAGCCTAAATCTACAGTTAGTTAAATTTTAGAGTAGAAATCCTGCTCACCTGGTTGAGATCCTTGAGATCTGTTAAATGGGACATGAATGACAATGGAACAAGATGGCTCATTTATCCAACAGTGGCTATTAAAAATACAAGTTTTAATCTTCCACTGCAACAGGAATAGTGGAAAACTCCTTTGCTGGAGAAATGGTTTCAACTAAAATATGGCAATGACTATAGAGAATTAAGTGAATGTACACACGGCTGTCACCGTGGTCTCCAAACCTCAGGGAAGATTTGACTCCTCCAGGAAAGTGCTAACAACCTTGGAGGGGACTGACACTTTAGGTAGAGTGAAGATTATACTCTGAATTCCCTGTATGGGTGCAGTGGGTATGGGACTGCTTGGATGTGGCAGGTGGAAAGTATGTAAACAATAGGCAAGTGTTACAGAGGAGTTACAGAGGCAGGATTGGGTCCATCCTGTTCAGCTCCAGCCCTATAAAAACCCTTCCTCAGGAAAAGGATCTGAGAGGAGCCTGCAAGGATTCTTAAACTTGTAAAAAAAATTTGCAACTTAAGAACAATGCCTCTTCCTGATCAAATGGGACTTGCCATTAAGGTAAATAAATATACTGAAATTAAAATCAACATAATTGATTGGGTGCACAATTAGAGCTGAAGTTAAACTCAAGTAGCAGAACTTGCTTCCCATGAGAGCACACCCTAGACACTGAAACACAGGCACTTTGAAACAGAACAAGTATAAAACAAGTGTACAAATCTGTAATAAGTCAGACTTTATTGTAAACCATTATAATGTAATTACATCAGATACCCTTAAAAGTTTAAGGTAACACCACTGATTAAACAAAATGGTCCAAACAGAGGGCAGCAGAATACAGCTGTTGGTTTTGCTCACATTTGCTATACTCTGAATTTACTTACAAACAAATCCCACATTCAGTTTGAGACGGATACCCACACAAGACGAAAACACCTACAAAAGAGTCCCTTTTTTAAAGATACTGCAGTTTTACTTTGTAAAACCATAGTAGTCATTTTCAGTAATTGAACTGGAAACTTCATCTAAAAAAGTTTGCACGCCTATGCTGTAGATGTACTCTGACTTGGTGTGGCTGAATTTATTAGCTTTCACTACTGGTTTCTCCTGTAAAAAGCACAGCAAAGTTGCAAACACGGGTTAGTCAAGCACAGTGGCAGAGATTCCTTGTGATGCTCAGCTCTGAGCAGAGCAGGAGAGCCCAGGCCCCCCTCCCCAAGCTAGGCAGGGATCAGAGCAGACACCTGCCCGAGGGGATCACTTTGCATTGCTCTAATTTGCAACTCAGTTTCTGAGTTTTCCCTGAAGAAAAGCTATAGTACATTTTAGTTAGCAACATTAACAGACAGCATTCACCTATTTAAATAAGACAAGGGGACCTGAACATATTGAAGCCAGAACTTGGAAACCACATACTAGACAACACCAGTGTTTTAAGTTTATGCAGATGTGTCACAGGTCAGATACTAGGAACAGTTAATGCATTTAGGCTGACCACTCGTGGTAAACTCCATCTCCACCAATATTTGTGTCTCTTCTCTAAGTTATAAACCCTTTCTCTTACTCCGGCATTCACTACATAGCTTATTTTCATGAAACAGAATCCTATTTTCTAAGCACAGCCTGAATTAAACTTTTGCTATGAGTTGTCCTGAAGTACCTTTGCCAGGCAGAAATCTGAGTGACTGGAGGACAATGCAAACGCCATGTTGCAGTATCACACTTGATCAACTCTTCATGAAAAGTCCACTTCAGCCTGTGCTGCCAATACATTTTAGCAAGTGGTAAGACACAGTGAAGCACTAAACACACACTCCCTGCTCCCACATACAAGCTTGTCAGACAAAAGGACTTGTCCTACGCATAACTACTGCAAGAATTCCAATTTTTACCTTACAGAGAGGAAAACTGCCAGTTTTACATTTTCCATCTTTTTCACAACGATAACAAAGAGTGTATAGAAAAAACAGCCAGATTTTGTTATTTAACTAAAATTCTGAATAGAATTATTGTCTTAGTAGAGAAAGTAATTTTTTCCCCTCTGAAGGTTGCTCCTCCTGTTACTACTGTGGTATTTAAAATACTTCTGTGTCTTTGGATCATAGTGCTTTACTACATCATCTTGCTAGGCATATCTAGATCTCACATCAGGTGACATTTAAGCACTTAAGACATGAAAAATTAGGCATTCAGAATCTTTGCTATAACCACCTTCAAGAATCTGCTCCATAGCGCTTTATACTGTTTTGCACTTGGTCAATAAGCTTGAGGTCTGCTCAAAACAAATATTTTTACATGATTAAGGCCATAACTTTATACTGACACTTCACAGACTAAACATGAGACTAGAATAATTTTGATAATTGAAGTAACTGGAGGAGGGAAAAGGAAGATAAGATGCAAGCTCGCACAGTGAAATTTGTGTGCGCTGCTCCGTTATCTCAGCTGGCGAGGACAGCCATGGCTCCGCACTGGGACGGAGCACATGTTCAGTAGCTTTAGTTCACTATCTGAAACAGAACAAATCCTATGCTAAAAAAATAAATGCTGACAATTGTGACAAGAGCCAGTCCTAGCTCTTAAATCCCTTTGGAAAAGTGAGCTGTAGGAGACTATTCTGTTGATGAATTCCTTGAAGTACTGTGCTTTTGGAGATCTGCGCCCACCCAGTGGTCAATAGTCAAGAGAAGATGCAAGTCATACAATCAATAAAAAACCCCAAACCCCCCAAACCAGAGGCAACACTGATTAGGGACATTTTCCCATCCCCACCCCCATGTCAAAAGAACTCAGGTAAACTTCCACTGACATTAGTCTCTAGATTTAGTCTAAAAGAAACACTAGTGCTGTAACTTATTGCAGTTCTTACGTTTCAGTGCACAGTAACAAAGGTCAGTGGCTCAACTAAAACCTTGGGTTTGGTAAATGTCCCTTTGAGCTGGCTGGACACTCTGAGGTGTCAGAGCATCGTGTCCCCTTGGCAGCCACCAGGAAAAGGGATGCTGGAATAGTGGAAGTAAGCACGGGAGCGCACGCTTCACTATTTACTAAGGCCCAGTTAAGTGGTCTGGATAATAAATCACATTAAGACCTAGTATATCTATAAAAAATGTAAAAAATCTTAAAAAGTTCTGAGCAGTTTTCCAATGAAACTGGTTTAAGGCTTGGAATTTTTCTGGTGTCCAGATACTACAACAGACCTGCATTCAAGGTCTGTTGTCACCTCTTTGACACATCGCCTTGTCCTGCA